TTTTTCACCCTTTTCTGCCTTTTTGGGCTCCATGTTGCACCATTTATTTATTGTTTGATGGATGAGGTTGTTTTGATTTTAGAAACTTGCGGAAGAATACCCATTTTGATAGTCTTTGATAATTATAGGTACAAGCTCATATTACCAAGCTGAAAAGGCAGTTGAGCATGATAGACGGGCTCCCGCAAGCATTGAAGCCAGCCTCCGGTTATGATTCATGAATGTGCATGATTGCAGAAGATCCTTGGACTATTTTTGCAGATTCAAATTGTGAAATATGATTTGTGCATCACAATCAAATGTGGGATCTGGAATTGCCCGTTCTTTGGACTCTTACTTCCTTATTTTATGTACCATATTAATTTATATTTCTGTAAGTGCTTAGTGACTGAAGCAAAGTAATTTAACAGCAATAGATGTTTGTACAGCATTTTATTAATCAAAAAAGAGGAAGAGCATATATTCCTTTGCTCTCTGGTTTGTTTGCATATAAGAATCTGTAATCATCTGAGAGTACTTGGTATATCTGTGTCAAAAATTGTTATTTCAAAAAAAAAAATAATAATAAAATATATATATATATATCTGTGTCAAAAATTGACAACTGTGTTGCAGGTGTGTCTATCTTTGTTGCCTGCTATTGTATTGTTGACAGAATCTTGTTTAAAGGTAAAAATTGAAAGATTATAATTTGATATGGAAATCATTCTGTAGCGAGCAGAATGAGTTTCTGTTGACTTGTGTTAGTTATTCATAGTCATGCTGTGAATGCCAGGATACTTCTCGGAAAGTTTGTTTGCTTTATTCGTAGTTTCCTTTTAGGCTTCATCCAATGGAAGAGCTAGAAGTCGTAGAACAAATATGGATGGGGCAGGTTTTTTAGGCAAGACTAAGTCTCTGATTACCTGATTCCGCACTCTCTTATTTCGAACCTTTGTTTGGTGCTAACTAGCGTTCAGAAATTGCAGTCCGACATGATATCATGCATTTGTTGGAGTGGATGTAGAAGGCATGATTATTATTGTTGTCACTTCTGCCATGGATTGGGATTGGATGTACTGACCAATGTAGAGTGTGACGGCTGCAACTTATCAGAATATCTTTAATTAACAATCCTCTGATAATCGTTGCTTACAGAATTGTTGTTTATTATTCATTCTTTAGTCTTTATCCTAAAAGGAGTACTATTTATAAGGGGAGGAAAGAATTGTATCTTCCTGGTTTTCTTTTTGGGTAAAAATACGGTTTCACCATTAGCCCAATATCAGATATATATATATATGTGTGTGTATGTGAATGTTATTTTTTTTTTTCTTCCTTTTTTCATAGATTGGTGCTGAAAGGATAGTAATACCCAGAATTCAAAATGGTTTTTATGGATAAAGCAAAAGAG